TTTCCACGTGAGGCCACAATACTGTCAACTGACAGCATTTTGTCTAGTTTGTGCACAAAAACTAAGGGAGCACTGCATCCAACAGGCAAAAAGCATTTACAATCGCGTCCGTCTGTAGCTACGACAATTGCAGAATACACGGCCACTTTGTGTGCCACTGTGTCAATTCAAAGATGACATCAAATTATAACGATGAATGATGAACACGTGTGCAACTGACCAAACTTGAACTCATTAGTGCCGATTTAGGACGTAAAGGATGGATGCTGACTTCGACGTTGCCCGATTTATTATCTCACGTTCACTTACTCTTCAGGTTCCCACAAACATGTGATTCCTGTAAATTGTTTCTTAAACTTGTAATACGCGTTAATCTCAAACTGACTTAATCTGAAACTATAAAACATTGCACAATATGTGACGACTTCAGTGACACATCGACAGCTGAAATTGCAATTCCATTTTGGACTTGGCTCACAGGTCCCAATTTCCCCAACTATCACGACGTACTTTGCGCGATGAGACTTGGCATGATTGTGACAAACAGGTTGAAGACTCACACAAGCTGGAAAAACAAACCATGTAATGCACTTCCATTGTATTGGTGACAAATAATCTCGATGCATTTGTAAGGTTAAACATTACATTCCAATTTCTAGTTTAACACATGCAACTCTAGGCGATAAGCCAACATTTTTCATTCAGTTCACTCCATTTTATTCCACTTGAAGTCTTTAATGAGTCGATATGGAACGCCTTTAAAGCACCTCTGTTTGCATGAGCAGCATCAGCAGCTTGGCATGCATAGAGTTGTCACCAAAGTGAACCGACTTCAATCACCGAATGTATGTCAAAACATGTAAGTAAAATGCAGTTTTGTGGTCCAAGGTATGTAGGTACCTGTCACTCACATGAAAATGCACTTTCCGTGTTATCTAAATATGCACATTTAAATAGTACGTTTGGCTTTGACAAAGGACCCTGCATTTACTATTCATGAGTTTTGTACAGATAAAGGCCAAATTAACTGCACTATTGCCAGAAACGTCTGTTACTTTACTATTGCGTGTTGAAGTATTCACATCAACAGGCATTTGCTAGGTTTCAGAGCAAAAATCTCGATGAATTGCAACAGTTTCTGAATAGAGTTGGCACTTAAAACATGGAGAATATCATCAGCGACTTTCTGCATTTTTGTTTACCACATTTACAGCTAACCGCAACTAACTACCTCAAACATGCGATGAGGGCTCCGGCGTGTTTTCGTGAACCATGAAGGGTCCGCTGAGTCAATCCTGGCCGATACCGCTACCCAGAACCAGCCTGTCCGTTGCGTGAGAATCATGCAGACCAATTTTATTTACTTTGTAAGATGGTGACAGCATCAGTGACAGAGGTGGGTTGTTCGATGCAGAAGTGCCCTTTCAAACGCTCCAAACAAGGAGACAGATATTACCTGATATGTGTGTTCAACAATGCGTAAGCGCAACACACAACCTTTTCGTTTAAAGTCAAACTTGACACCAACAAACTAACAGTATTAATTAAATTAAGCGATAACAAAATGAAAGGAAGGCCGTACGAAAGGCGACACGAACGCAGTGAATGTGCGGGCAAATCAAATTGTTCGTTTGATGCCCATTCCTCATCGACAGACACATCAAAGCGCTTGACGACGAAACCTGAAACCACGTTATCGGAGGACTTGGTTCCCGTTAAGGCCTTGACAACCAAATTCCAAATTACACGTAAATCACCAACAGCAATAGAGGCTTCTGATGATGAGCAAACAAGTACGTGCTCAACTCTGGAACATCCAGTACCAACATCCACATTATTGGGCCCACCTCCAGCATCTACAATCTCGCAATTTGATAGCCAAACACCGTCTGACAATCCCACCGATCTACCTGACACGGCTAAATTTACGGAAATGGGCATATCGCCAAAAACAACAAACACGCATTCACCTCACGACACACCGACTAGCGACTTATACCTCATGTTCACCGAAGAAATTGTCACAATTTCGGACACACCATTTGCAGCCACATCTGCGTTGCCTGATGCGGAATCGACTTTTGGCGGCTTATCCTCCTTTAATTCCACTGACAAATTTGATGTCTCGGACAAATTTTTGACGACTCCCACTCTCTATGGTGACAAATCCCTTCAAGTCAATCACCTGCTTTAATTTCCGCCACATCATTCACATTATCGGACACACCACCAAGAACTACAACCATGCTGACCCAAGACAAATCACCGACCACCTATTCAACTGGTTCGGTTCCCAACTTCACATTCACAATCTCGGATGCAACTTTGCCATCCGCAGATGGTATACCGGCCAAGAACTCAGGTGCATCAGTTATCAAGGCTAAATTCACAGTCAGTGACACGAAATCCACTGTCGCACACTGGCAGTCTGGTGGCGAAACACCAACCGACTACATTACCTCTGCAGACGCCGCTGCCAAATTCACGAAATCGATCACATGTGCACCGAAGAAACCAACGTTATCAAAAGATGATTCTCCTGTTGTCCACACAACTGTCTTTGTTCCCACTCCCATTCACAACTCATCCATTTGCTAAAAAAGCTCCAATTGATCGCACAGCGGAGGCTTTCACCACCACCAACGTTTCAGTAGGGGACGTGCCACCAGCAGCCACCAGTAGCACGCCTTCTCATATGGAAGTCCACTTTGAAAACTCCACCCATTCAAATATTTCTTTTTCACAGTTGAATTCATTAAAAACATTTACAAATCCTTAAAATTGAGCTTTAGTGTTCTTCAGTTTCTTAACGTGGTTTTCAACCTTTTCATGTGATATTTACAAGTCTTTTCCCAGTCACACTTCCTTGTGAATCATGACTTAATTTGATACTCTTTACAAATCCATGAACTATCATTATGCAAGCTCTCCCGAAATCGGCCCACTTCAGTGCAGCCACATTTAATTTTCTCAAATTTTTGCGTTGTATTTCTAAAATATATTTATCTTGTCATTTTATTCATTTCCATGTTCATGGGTTACAATTTTCCCTAGCTAATCCGCTTGATAAAAATATTAGGGTTATGCGAACTTGATACCATTTATAAAAAAATGGTAAAATCGGCTTTTGAAGCAAAAGCACGATTCAGATAATCACCATGGAAATTCGTGCTGCAAATCAATCACCTGCTCCTTCAAAAGTCGTCTCTCCTTAAAAGTAAATGTACGAAACCTTTCAGGTAGGTTGGACTTGTGATGCATTTCGGAACTTGTCAGTTAGCAGGACTAGGCAGTGTGTCCTTCCATCAACTATATACATCAAGCATGTGGCCTCAAATCACACTGGGACAGCTGCACTGTGCTAGTCGATTACGCGTCACTGATACCACAAGGATCAAGAACTTACAAGGTGTCCGAAAACGCTGTTTCTCAGTTATCGAATGCAGGGTATGTGGTCGTGTGCGTACGTTCAGTGTAGTGAGGGACTAAAGCGACCGACGCTGATCGACACAGAAAGAGTGAATTGAACAAAAGGAAGTGAACAATATTGGAGCGGGGAGGTAACTGCACAGTCCAGACTCCCTTTAAAACCTTTAACCCATTAGCGGTCAAATTGACATAAATGCTCTAGGGTAAAATGACTTCATACAAAATTAACTACACTAATCCATTTATCCCTATTCAGTCTCTAATATATTACTTAAGTCACGCTTACGGGTACTAAAGCAGATCAGACTTTAATTAAAAATGTAATTGTTTTAGTTAACTGCGCAACATGAAACCACAGTATAACTGCACAAGGAAAAAGGTAAGAGGGCACAGTTAAGCTCTGTGTTCAGAACGGCGGCAAATGTCAAACAACCTTTGTTGGTTTTTAACGTGATTATTCACCATTTGAAGAAAACCGATATCCTTTGCCGCACATTCTACTTTCACCATAAACAGAATCGTGCAAGCGGTAAGCAACCACCTCCAACTGGCGTCGGTCACTTTTGGTTCGTTTACTTCCGCCTAAAACTTATTCAGTTTGAACTATTTATTGGTGTCTGGAGGTGTGCCGGATTCCCTAAAGACACTTGCTTCAATCATTTGACTAGCATCTGGGAAATGCGCCACTTATTATGAACACTTACCTTCATCGCACTAATCAAACAAATTAAGCTGATAATATCGATCAGCGCGGCTCTGCAATCGTAGCATGTATTCGTTAAGATCCATGTGTCATTGACGATTGCAGTATGCAATAAACAGTGAATTATTTGTTACAATCCAAAAAAAATTCCGGAAGCTTTTATTTGCTTTCTTGTGGTAAACAAATGTTTTCAGGTAATTAGTTGTTCCACATAAAACATCCGTCTATGCGTCATAGCAAATCTCTCGATGGCCAGCGCAAACATGCCAGATTCGAGCGCAGGATCTACACTTGTTGATGACGAATTAGGCCTTATTTAGCTATTTTACGTTGTAGTAGTATCAACATAACAATACTGCCAACCAAACAGAATTTATGAAGAAGTGCTTAAGGTTGTGAGGAGGCTCGGGAGCATTTTTGTTAAAAAAAGTACTTAAAAACTGCGTGTTTCCACAATAATAATTTGATATGGCTGTGTTATTTATCTGGCTAACACAATGGGTAGTACACTGAAACAGTTTAAAAGATTTTGACTGTAGAATCATCAAATTTCTATGTTTCTCATTAAATCAGGTAAAGTGATCCAAGACCAAGCAACATTCGATGTATGAAAAACAATATTTCTCAAACGGCACTAGGTGTTTGCATTTATAACACCAGAATAGGACGTCGCCTGCGAACTTTAAAATTAAATAAAAGTCGTTTACGTAGGGGCGATGTCAAACAAATAAACAATAGCCGAGCACTTGAATATCGTGATTTTGGTTGGACATTAAATTGCATTGTCTTCAGTAAAATTGTAGGACTTGATTTTCATTGAAATGTTTAACTGAAAAATATTCATTATGGAATTAGTGCTAGAATTTAGGATTTCCTAATGCATCGGGTCAAATTTTTAATATATGTTCATTTTTTCATTTTACGAAATGTTATATTTGCAGAATACAACAAAATCGCATAAAATTCATGAACACAATCGTTGAGCATATGTTTAAAGATTAATACATCCTCTCTAGGTAAACATGTAATTATCGGAAACGTTTAAGATTTGTTCGATGCTCATAACTGGGCTTTCGCTTTCAACTGCTGGCATCATTTCCCACCTAAATGAATAAGGGAACCCACACTTGAATGATCACGCAAACAAAAAAATTGATGTGTCATCAAACAGGAAAATATCAAAGAATCAATCGGCTAAGGCCTACTTGTGGAAATGAGGAATACCCTTGATCTTACATAACCGTACTAGCATAAATACTGCAAAATTCTACTTTACTGAAAGCCCACAGGTAAACACTATTACTTTTTACGGCGAATTGAATCATAGGTAAAAAAGAAGACAACGTTTGCAAAAAACTGCATCTAAGTAAGGACAAATATACTTATTTGATAAAAGACAACGTTTTGGTTTGCTCACGAAGTTTATACGATTTCACCTGTAACATATTCATAAATGAAATTTGTGCCAAAAATTTACGATTTCTTAATGCGTTGGGCCTATTTTTAAAGCTATGTGTATTTTTTTCCTTTTACGAAATGTTATATTTGCACCATGCAACAAAATCGCATTAAATTCGGAAACGCAATCGCTTTGCATATGTTTAAAAAAATAACATATCCTCTCTAGGTAAACATGGAATTATTGGAAACGTTTAAGATTTGTTCGATACTCATAACTGGGCTTTTGCTTTCAACTCCTGGCATCATTTCCCACCTAAATGAATAATCACGCAAATACAAAATGGATATGAGATCAAACAGGAAAATATCAAGGAATCAATCGGCTTAGACCTGCATGATCAAATAAAGAATACCCATTGGTCTTACATAACATAAGTAGCATAAGCAATGCAAAATTCCACTTTACTGAGAGCCAACAGGTACACATGAATAATTAT